AAATACATTGTGTGTGTGCACGTTTATGTACTTGACTGTCCTCTGGTATGCTTCCAACGAAGCGATAAAAAAATATCCATCATCTCTTCTCCCCCTGGTGTGAAGGAGTAGGACGAGGGTGAACACATAGGCTAATCATATTACCAACCACCCACAGACTACAGCAGTGTAAGAACACTACCCGGACGCCTTAGCACTTACCCACCCAAAACTTAAGCGAGGGAAGGGGGGGGTTATACATGCTTTTAAGCAAGTGCTGTGAAAGCCTGTGTGGAGTCTCAGTGTGGCATTCACATCCAGGGAAAGCAAGAGAAAAGGCTCATTAAACTTCCAGCTGGTTTTATCGCCGAGATTCCTCTGAAGCTGTCGGATGACAGGGGTGGAGGAGCTCCTATAGATCTGACTTCTAATTACGGCCACATCCAAGCAGGAACTGAGCCTTTTTTTGGGAGACTTTAAAGGGATATTTCACCCAAACATGAAAATTCTGTCTATTTATTTGCCTTCATGTCATTCCAAACCTGAATTTTCTTTCTTTTCTGGAACGTAAAAGGAGACTTTTTGAAGAATATACCTGACCATTCTTTTCCATATAATGAAAATGAACATGGCTGTCTGTCTGTCTGTCGTTCTATGATCTGTCTGTCTGTCTCTCCGTCTGTCCATCTGTCTGTCTGTCATTCTATGATCTGTCCATCTGTCTGTCTGTCTGTCTGTCTGTCTATCATTGATCTGTCTGTCTGTCTGTCCATCTGTCTTTCTATCTGTCTATCTATCTATCTATCTTTCTATCTATCTATCTATCTATCTATCTATCTATGTCTCTGTCTGTCTGTCTGTCTGTCTGTCTGTCCGTCTGTCTGTCTGTCGTTCTATGATCTGTCTGTCTGTCTGTCTGTCCGTCTGTCTGTCTGTCGTTCTATGATCTGTCTGTCTGTCTGTCTGTCCGTCTGTCTGTCTGTCGTTCTATGATCTGTCTGTCTGTCTGTCTGTCCGTCTGTCTGTCTGTCGTTCTATGATCTGTCTGTCTGTCTGTCTGTCCGTCTGTCTGTCTGTCGTTCTATGATCTGTCTGTCTGTCTGTCTGTCCGTCTGTCTGTCTGTCGTTCTATGATCTGTCTGTCTGTCTGTCTGTCCGTCTGTCTGTCTGTCGTTCTATGATCTGTCTGTCTGTCTGTCTGTCCGTCTGTCTGTCTGTCGTTCTATGATCTGTCTGTCTGTCTGTCTGTCCGTCTGTCTGTCCATCTGTCTGTCCGTCTGTCTGTCCATCTCTCTGTCTGTCTATCTCTCTGTCCGTCTGTCTGTCTGTCCATACTTCTGT